GCAGGAATTTTATGGCGATGCTCGTCATCATCCACTCTTGTCAAATGAATCTCTGATTCCCCAAAAGAAGGCTCGGCAGGAAAACCAGATTCTTCCTCAATATCAACCCTTTGCTCCAAACTCATTGATGCTGCTGATTCTCTTTCTTTAACGTCGGTAATCTTTTCTTCCTCTCCTGATAAAGATGATCCACTGTCACTGTGATCCTCTTCATCTGTTTCTATCTTATCAGAAGTTTCTCCTTCTATCGTGTTAGATTGCTCTTCCTGGTGACTTCCTCTGTCACCCAGTGTTATCTCCGCCACATCATTGTGAAGATTTTGGCTATCAGCTTGTTCACTGAAATCAACATCTTCTGATGAATGGCTCTTCTCATCGTCGTGGTCAGAGGCTGGATCAACTCTAGGCATCTCAATTCCTCGATCAGCCTCATGTTCATGCACCTTCTTGTCATCCTCCTCCAGGCCTGTGCTCAGAGATTCGGTATCGGGGACAGAACTGACTTTCGACTCGCTAACTTCACTGAGTTGTCTTTCAAATCCGTAATAGCTGGTTCTCTCATGAGCTAGTTTTTCCAGCACAAAGAAAGGACGTAGCCTCTCGCTCCTGTCTTGCCTAGGACCTCCAAGCATTGATGGACCGACACTGAAGCTTTCATGTCTTCTAAATACAGGTTCCTTTGGATGGAAAGGAGAGAACTCTTCCTGGAAACTGTCACGTTTGAGGTCTGGCTTCTCTTCATTTGGATCATACGGAATATCAAACGGATTTCTCCTCGGCACCAGAACAGATGGGGCAGAGCCTGGGATTGGTGGTAAGCCCATATCATCATATGAATCATAAGGAAGATCGAATGGGTTACGCCTTGAGGTTGAGATGGGGGGCATGTTAAACGGTACGTCGAAACTGTCCAGGTCGATAAGATTCTTCTCGGCCATCAGTTTGGTACCTTGCCGAGCCCTTCTCCGGGCGATAAGACTCTCCAACCGTTGGTTTCTTTCGAGTTCAAGACTTCCAAGATCCATTACATTCTTCTGGTCATCCTCTGTCCATTTGATCACTGACTTGCTTTCGTCCTCCTCCTCCTTCTCTTCCTTTGTCTCCTCTTCTTCTTCATCCTCTTCATTTTCATTGTCTCCGTCTTCATCTCCTCCATTGTTATCACTGTCGATATCAGATTCAAGCCCTTCATCGCAACTGCTCCTATGCGGTCCCTCTGACGCAGTGTCTGATCCTTCTCGGGAAATATTAGAAGGGTTTGCTGCTTCTGAGTGTAGCAGCGGGTGAAGCTCGTCGAGCATCGGGATGATATCGGTCATGGAAGCATCGGGTGAGGAGCTCTCCGAACCATCATCAGACCCGGAATCCGATGAGTCGTCACCATCGGCAGCAGCATCATCATCATCCTTGTCATGCCTCATTGGTGTCCATGGTGAGACTGGAGATGCATCCATCTGTTCATCCTTGGTATTTTCCGACATATTTCCATCGTCTTCTACCGGTCTCTCCTCCACTGTCTTCTCCGACTCCGCCTCTAAAGGTTCCACCTTGAACTTGACCTGATTCTTTTGGTTTAGAGTCTCATCAACCAAAGGCCTATATTCAACTGAGTTACTGTCTTCCTCAATTCCATCACCGTCATCGTTTCCATCCTTCTCCTTGTTCACGAATCTCTCTACCGCGAAACTCTTATCCTCTCTCTCGACAACAGTTGCATCTCTAGCAAGCTCTGTCTTGAAAAGAGAAGCCTCGTGGACAAGTTCGGGGTCATTCTCGATTTCGGGTATGTTCTGTTGCCCGAAACTCAGTATTGTCCCGAGCAAAACGGCAGTGCAGACCAGAACTGGAGATGCAGAAACCAGTAGAGAGAACAGAACAGGACACGTTCTGTTCAGAAGAACCAGGAAAGAGACGAAACCCAGGAGGAAGGGATGGCTGCAAACCCATCTGTATGACAGTCTGATCGAGATAACGACCAATCTCCGAATCTGAAACCCGATGTCTGACCGATCACGGATCATTTTTCTTCTTCCAGCCGGGGTTTCTGCAAAATTCACGAGCAAGAATCAAAGATTCAGATGACGTCACAGATCCATGTGGGGATCGACACGAATTCACGAGCCGTTTAAGGCTGGAAGAGGAGGAAGAGGGCATTCGTATACCTTCTGGAATCCGACCAGACAAATCACGCCGCGATCAGAACCATGCCGTGGCGGGAGAAAGTTGAAGAAAACCAAGACAGATCTCGATGGGACAGATTCCCGATCGGCAAACGATCTGAAATTCCACGCAACTGAGAAATGCGGTGATTGCGATCGGAGAAGAAAGCTAGCTCCGGCGAGAGAGAGAGAGAATTGAAAAGAAATAAGGGGGAAAAGTTAAAAGGGAAATAATTTAATTCATCTTTTCCAAAGAGACCAACAGCTATACAGAGCTGTTCTTTGTTCGGTTCTTTTTCAGTCTTGTCTTTTTACATTACAATATCGAATTATTCCGTTTATTTATTTTGTACATATGATATGATGCTATCATGCATTACAAGGACCGTACAAACGTTTGTAAATGAAATTTACTTGTTTGTATAAAATAACGTTTATAGTTTGTAGTCTACTTGGATATTCACCACCACATGAAATCGTTTTTCTCCATAAATGTTTTTTTATATCTATTTTAAATTTATTTTCAATTGATTTGGATGGAACTCGAATTAACCTTAATATCATATTATTATTATTATTACTAATAAGGAAAAAGGACATTAGACTATTAGTTTCCTAAGCGGAGAAAGAGACTTTAGTGGCTCGTGGGGTATGGGCGGTTTCATGAGAATAAAACAATTTGTGGAATAAATGTAAAAAGGCATTAAAATTAGGGGCGGCGAAAGAAATCAATGACCGAAAGTTACAGTTGATGACCGCCAAATTCCAATTTTATATTTCTTTGAAAAAATGCCCAAAGAAAAAAAAATCAGGAAGATATTGGTAATTTTGTTTGGATTGGGTTCAGCTTAATTAAAAACTATTTATCTTTAAATAGAATTTTGTTTTAAAATCGACTTCATTCTGATACGTATTATTGAATTCAATTCTGTTTTTATGTCAATAATCACAATATCTACTCCTAATTTTGCTATATGAACACTATTTTTAACTTTTGGATAATAAGTTTAATAATTTGTATTTTGGTCCCTAAACGGAGCAATATTCCGAAACGTGACCCATAGATTGCATTTCTTTCAAATCAACCCCTACCTTACTGAATAATTATTTTTTATTGCAAAACATCGTTGGAAGAAGTTGGGGTTGTTTGTAATGTGGGAGTGATGATTGCAAGTTTTCATTTTTTGGACAGAGGGAAAGTAGTTAGTCAGTTCATGAATTAAAAGCAATTGAGTTTCATAATTATGTTAAAAGTGCTAATTTCAATTTGTTTCATATTATACATCATTTCCAATGTTACAATTGATTTTCTATGTTTTAAATTGTAGGAAAACATTTCTACAACATCAAAAAAACTTTATTTTATACAAATATATATTATATATATTATATTATTATTTTATATTTTATATTTTATATATTATTAATATATATATTATATTATTATATTTTTTAACAAAAAACTTTATTTTATACAAATATATAGGTTAACCTAAACAAAAGTTTTCTTTTAAATTTCATATTTGACAAGAAACATATGTGGTTTCATAAGACTAGTGATTTTGGATTTCTGTTCCTTTTTTTTATTTGGATGTCGTAGATACATTTTATTTGTTTTAAAAATAATAATCTAATGATTGTTAATTTTAAACCGATTTCGTTCACAATCATATCAAAATTACTTCACAACGACAAAAAATATAGAAAATAACTTACAAATGATTTGTAATGTAGGACCGGGTCGGACTGTACAGTGTAGTACTTAACCGAATCGGGTCAGATTTATTTTGACCCGACCCGGTAATTTATTCGGCCCAATCCATCTTCATCTATCGGCTTCTCCATCTCTGGATCTAATTCCGTCTTCGTGCTTTTCTTAAACCCTAACCTCCACCGTCGCCGTTCCCGTTCCCGTTCCGGCAGTTTTTCTCCGGAGAACCATGACGATCCACTCGGCGGTGATCCAAAGGCTCCTGCAAACCGGTGCTCACCTCGGCCGGCGTGCGGCGGAGCATCACTTCAAGCAATACGCATATGGAGCCCGAAATGGCATGACCATCATCGATTCCGACAAAACCCTAATCTGCCTCCGCAGCGCCGCACAGTTCATTGCCAACCTCGCTCACCAGCGCGCCAACATCTTCTTTGTCAACACCAACCCTCGCTTCGACGAGATCATCGAGCTTATGTCTCGTAGAATCCTCGGCGACGCCTACAACCACAATCGGGCCACGAATCTGTGGCGTATGGGTGGGTTTCTTACGAATAGCTTCAGTCCGAAGAAATTCCGGTCGAGGAACAAGAAGCTCTGCTTCGGTCCTACCACTCTACCGGACTGCATGGTCGTTTTCGATACCGAGAGGAAGAGCTCGGTGATTCTCGAGGCGGCGAAGCTTCAGATCCCGATCGTGGCGATCGTGGACCCGAACATGCCGTGGGAGTTCTATAAGAGGGTCACGTACCCTGTTCCAGCTCATGATTCGGTAAAGTTCGTGTATTTGTTCTGTAATGTGATCACCAAGTGCTTTGTGGCCGAGCAGATGAGGATGGCCGGGAAAGTTGGGATCAAGCAAGGTTGATTGAGGGGACTTAGCTGCACAATTGAGTCTGCAAAAGTATAAACCTTTATGGAATTACAGTTTTCTTCTCAGTTATTTATTGAGAAAAATAATCGTTCTTCAGGATTTTGTTTGCCAATTTGGAAATTCTGGGTATCTAATCATTGATGTTTGTTCTCTGACATTGGAAAACGGCTCTTTCTGCAGATTTTCAGTTTTGGATAATGTGGTTGTTGCTATGCCATTCATTGTGGCGCGGAACATGAACAGGATAGGGTTTTATGGTTTTCTAAATTTCTTTCAATATTCTGCTGAACTTTGGGGTTGCTACGATGTGAAATGGGAATTATATACTCCCCTAGTATCCCTTTAGGATTCAAATGATCCATCTCCTCTACAAGACATGAGTTTTCAAGGTTGGATCTTTTCATACTTTTCATAGCAAATTGTTATCTTTCATATGTTCCCGGTTTACTGGAAATCGTTGGTTAATTTTATCCTGAACACATTGTATTTCCTGTATACGGTTGTTGTTAGTCGATGAGCCGGTGGTTCGATTAGCGTAGTTATCCGTAAGCCACTGACTCTCGTGCCTGTGATTGAGACTCCTCGACTCGAGTCATATCAGACTGCAGTCTCCTCAAAACATCTTCTGGTACATAGCGAGCACAGGTAATCCTCTCGGAACTCTGGGAGTTACTTGGCACTATAAGATGGTTGGCTTGGTTTTACGTATGGGTCTGTTGACTGTAGAGTATAGTTTTGGTCCCTAGACTTAGATGACATCTTTCTGCACTTCGGCTAGAGAAGAAACTCACCAGTGTTGTTCTCTTGTTTCTTTTGTGAAACAGAGTACTGTTGTAGTACTTTAAGATAGATTTACTAAACCAGCTCGTTCTTTTGCCAATCAAGAAACCCTTTTACTCGATCGGATCGCAGCCCTGGTTTATATTTCTCAACCTGTTTGGAAGTAAGGGGAAACCGGTTTCATTTAGGTAGAAACTTGGGAGTTCTAGAACTGGTTGGAAGGAATGATTAATCAGATGGAAGAGATCTTGTTTTCAAAGGATCTTCGCTCTTGTTTTTTATATATTAAATTGCATCTGCATATGACAAGAAAGACCAAGCATGAGACTATGGGGGATGGGACAGACGGACAGTGCAATGTGGCATGTGGAGACTTTGTTTGTAAGCTTGTAGGAGACAGTGAAACGCAGCATATTCATAATGAGGCAGATTGAGGGGCACATTGCAGAGCGCATCACATTATATCCTTTTTGAGATCTTGTGTTATACCGTATGGGTGCTTTAACCATTTGCTAATCCCTCCCAGTTAGTGAAGCAAGCAACTGATTAAGTTTCCAAGTAGCAACGAAAGCAGATCCTTTTTTTTAAAAAAAAGCCTTAATTAAATCCTGAAATCTATCGAAACCTTTATTGGCGTTGCGTTATTTCTAGTGTTGCGTTTTTCCCACACAAATGATACCGAAACGGACCTATTTTCGGGTCGGGTCGGGTTAAACATTTCGCAGGCAGAACCGGTTATTTCTCCCATTAATTTATTTATGGGAAAAACGTGTTTTTCTCTTCATTAGTTCAAGTCAGGTCAGGTCTTCTTGCTGCAAACCCCTCCGTGGGAAGCCTTTCAACAATCAGAAGAAATTCTTCATTTTTTTTTTCCAATTCGTCGCTTTTTCCGAAGAAGAATAAGAAACAGACGGAGAAGAAGAAAGCCCAATTATCAGGAAGACCTAGTCTCATTTGGGTTTGGACCCGAATACCCGGAAATGAAGGGAGGTGGGAAGAAGAAGACCCAGGCGGTGAACGACACCGTCGAGGCCGAGACGGCGGGGGGAAACGCTAGCGACAGCAAGAAGAGGGCCGTCTTCGGCGCCGGAGAAGACGGCGGCGGAGGAAGAGGTGGTGACGGTGGGGAGTTGGTTCTTCGCGGGGTGGGTAATGATGAACGTAAGGAGGATGGGGCAGAAGAAGGGGAAGGAGAAGAAGCTGAAGATGGCGAAGATGATGGTGCAGAAGACGAAGAAGGAGGGCAAGAGGAAAGGCCGAAGCTAGACGAAGGGTTCTTCGAAATCGAAGCTATTCGTCGTAAGAGAGTTAGAAAAGTAAGCTATTTTTTTTCTTCTCTCTCTCCAATCTCTGCTGTATCGGGGAAGAGACAAATGTGTTTGTGGGTGTTGCTTGTTCCCCATAAATTTGGAGGTTTTAGGTTCTCTGGAATTAGATACCATCTTTGTTCGATGGTGCAATGTTAATTCTTGCTCATTAGGGAAGCCGGTGCTATTCAATGGTCAGTACAAAGCCTGTGGAGTCTCTGCTATCGATTTCTAGGGATGTTTTTAGAGGACAAGGAAAGAAGAAAGACCCAAAAAGTAGTTAAGAAGCGAGATACGGCTGATCTGTGGTTGTTGAGTTGTGTAGTAGGAAGAAACGGGTGATTTGCTTTTGTGTTTGATCTCTTCTTTCTGATGCGGGTAATGTATTGTGCGTTTTTGTTGGTGCTGCCGATGTCTCTATCAAAATGGTGCTGAAATCATAGGGCAAGCTACAGTATCTTATTAAATGGTGAGTTGTTGAATCGTTTCATATATCCCGAGTCACGGGTTAGACATGCTTTCCTTTTGATGTAAACTCTGTCCCGTCGTGTGAAGGCGTGGATGGCCCGAAACTGCAAACACTTGGGAGCCTTTGGAGAACCTCCAATCTTGCTCTGATTTTATCGATGCATTTGAGGAAAGGTAACTTATGTTTTGAAAGTCTTTCCTTTTCTTCTTTTACAATACTTTTCCTAATCTAGCATTTAGCAAGTTGCTTCTAATTGGTTGAATTTGTTATTTTTCCTGGTTTTATTAGTTGGTTCTTTTCATTTCATTCCATTCAAAGTTTGCATTTTTAAAGATGATTTGCTTTATTTCTACAAATTAAGGTGTTGAAGACACGAAGAGCTTTTATTTTTTAGTTTAGTGTTGGAGTTTTTTGTTGCTTGAGGTCTGTGTTCCATCTATAGTGGTGAAGAAGTGCGAAATAGGGATTTACATCTTCGTTGAGTTATCAATTTTGCTTCTTGTTTCTAAGCCTGCGACCAGGAAAGCAAGGTAGGAAGCGGAAACGCAAATCCGGATGGCTTCAATCCCACACAAAGAAGAAGCAGCAGCAGCAACCTCGTCCAATTTCCACTTCTCGTGATGATGGTATGGGCGTTCTAACTGTTGCCATTGACAAATCTCCATCTTCTACATCTCCAAAGAACTCTACTATTCCCGACATTGCGGCACCGACAGACCTCAATGGTCCGACTCAAAAAGAAGATCGGGAAGTGAAAAAAACCTACGTAGACAACAACCAAGTCGATGAAGACAGTGGCAGTGGTGATGCAGACCAGATCAGTTCGAAGAAAGAGGAGAAAGAATACGATCCCACACTTAATGAACTCAGAGGACCGGTGTCTCGTAGTGAGGTCCGTGCAAATAACTCTGTGGGGTGTTCCCATGGTGGTGCCATTGGTTCTGAAGGTGATGTTCCGAGAAACGGGTTTGTCAAGGCTGGTCCTAAGGAGGCTGGTAAGGGCAGTCGGTGCATAGGGGCCAAGAGAAGAAAGTCCGGTTCCGTGAAAAGATTTAAACAAGATGATACCGTGAGTGACCCTAACAAGAATCCGGATCTTGCTCGTGATTTGATTAGATTGGATTCTTTTGGCGCAATTTCGAGGCTAGGGACCGAGTATAATGGCATGATGGAAAATAGTTTGTCCCAGAGAACCAAGATGGAAGAGGTGAATATAACAAAGATACTCAAGCCGATGAGTTTTTCAGCGTCTGTATCAGACAATGTTCAGGATGTGTTCGTGACCTTCATGGCACTACGGTTCGTAAGTCCTGCATATGTTTTTTATCCATTGATGTCCAAAGTATATACCGTGTATTATTACGCATATTTTTACATATATATATATGCACACACTTGATAGGTCTGATGGGGAAGAAGTGATGGTGGACAACAGATTTCTAAAGGCTCACAACCCTCTTCTGGTAAAATCTGTGATCTCTTTGCATTCTCAGAGTTTTTGTTCTTTGCGTTTTCATTTTAAAACTCGTGTTACTTATCCGAGAAAGGGTTCTCATTCTTTTCCGCTTCTGCTTTTGACGACAGTTGATCGACTTCTACGAGCAGCATCTCAAGTACAATCCTACTTCTTCTTGATTTATATGTATTACACGGAATAAAATAGGTAAGAAAATTGTTTGTACACAGCATTGCAATTCTGTAGGTAGGTTAGGGTTTTCTTCTTCTTTGTGTGTAGCTATGATTTGTAGGTGTTGTTCCACGTCTCTGCGTTCTTAAGATGAGATCATCCCTATGCTTTATAACGGTTCACTCTACATGCTATTGATCTTTTCATCAAGATCCAATGGTACTTAATATTAGAAAAAAAAAGGAAGTGAGATTCATAACTTTATAGTATTCTCAATGCAATTGTATTGTGTTTATCACCACAATTACTTTTGAGAAACCTCATTGATTATGGGTACATAGGCTCATTGATACATCCGTATACAGAGTAGACCTAATTTGGTGCAGCATTATCTGTGACTGTTATAGCCTCCGTGTCGAAGGCACTTGAAGTTTAATCCTCTTGGGTTCCGGTTCTTTCTGGTCTGTGTTCGAGCCCTGACCCATGGCTTCCGAGAGCTCCAAACCCGATGAAACCATATCGAGCCTGTCCTGTAGGATGCAAGGTGGCTCTGGCTCGGGCTCGGGCAAGACTGCAGCTTCTTCCCCTTTTACCATATCTTCAAAAGACGTGAGGTGAACCGCACATTTCTTGATCTTTCCGGGTGGTTTAACTTTAGAACCTCCTTTCAGGTTCTCCAGGGAGAATTCAAATGTTGCCTCACTGTAGGATTGTAGTAATGATGTGCAACTTCTGCTGAACAAAAGGAGGTGATCTGTTTCAGCAGACATCCCTTTGAAAGCCTTTGGGTTAGGATACCAAAGCTCATCCATAACCACCAGTTCCTCGTCGTAAGCACCTCCTCCTCTGAAATGGCAACGGCATCGGATTGCCAGATCTTTCATAGGATACTGTCCATCCACATCCATTCCCACCATTACACATGCCGAAAATCCCAAAATGTCAAGAGCATGATTGATTGGAGGTAAGTGGATTTTCAGAGAAGGCCCTGTTGCACGGTGGTTGAAGCAGGAGGGCACATCTCTTCCGGGGAAGTAAGCGAATCTGGGTTTCTCCTGTACAAGGACAACAGATGTTGAGTTTTGAGCAAGTAGATTTGATGGGCATGAAGCTACTAAAAGAGGAACTATAAGAGAGAGAGAGAGAGAAGAGAGAGAGAGAGATGAGAACAACAACCGGGTCGAGTTCCATGTTCCGCCGAATGAGCAGCTGAGCATCTTGATCCAATTTGAAACAGTTGCTAACCACAAGGGTGTGTAAACAGTGTCTGAAGCACTGTGAAATACTCTCTAGTGAAGTGCAGCCATGTGCATAGATATACAACAGACATCGGGGTGATTCAGGCAATGCTCGGAGTCTCTGGCAGTTGTTTAGGTTAAGCCTATGCAAACAGGATAGCCCTTTGATGCTTGCAGGAATCATCTTGAAATTGTTCCCACTCAAATCTAATTCTGATAGGCTCCACAAGTTGCCAATGCTTGTAGGGATCTCGAGCATGTTCAAGTTGCTTAGACGCAGCACTCTTAATTCCTCAAACCTTGGTAAACGAGGACACAGAGAAGGCTGACCGGATGGGTTAAAGCAACTATGCCCAATGGACAAGACATGAAGACGTGTCAATCGAGCGATGGACAGTGGAGCTCGCCTTACATCGGTTTTTCTTGCCTCAAATACCTCCAGAGCTGTTAAATTCCCGATGTCTTCAGGCAATTCGGTAATGCCGGTCCTACCTATGTCAAACCACCTCAAGCAGCTCATTGTACGGCACATTTCTGCAGGGAAACTCTCAAGAATAGAACAGCCAGAAAGGTTAAGTCTTTCAAGTGACAGTAGCTCAGAAATGCTTACTGGAAGACGTTTTAACCTTTTGCTTTCCCGAAGATCCAAAGACCTAAGTCTAGAGAGATTACAGATCCATCCAGGAACTTCCTCAATCGATGTCTCTGTTACACGTATTGCTGTTATACTCGTGGCAACAAGTGGGAACTCATTGATATGAAGACTACCAGAGACTTCTAGAGTTTCGAGAGACGTGAGTTCCTGTAATGTCCTCGGGAGATTTCCAAGATGCTTGCACCCTTGCAAATTCATGGATTTAAGGGATACCAAGTCCCTTACAGTGCTCGGAAGAGTCCTGAGGCTCATGCAATCCGACATATCCAACTCAATGAGACAAGATAGACGGGAGATGGAAAATGGCAGTTCTTTTATCTTTGTACTGTTGAGATAGAGTCTTCTACCATTTGGAGAAACTTCTGGAAAATGTGTAAGACTGGTGCATCCATTCAGCCCAACTATTTCAAGTGACTTTAATATAACTCTGCTTGGAATGTGCTGGAGTCGACTACAGTTAGTCATGTATAGAGAAGAAAGTCTCTGGAGACTTTGGATAGACGGAGGAACCTCAACCAAGCTTTGGCAGTAAGAAAGGTTTAATTCCTCCAGGTTTGTGGCTTTTGAGAGATCTGGCACTTCCACAAGGTACTTACAGCATGAAAGGTCCATCTTTTTCAAATTCAAAAGAGACTGAAATATCATACAGATATAGAATGTTAGAAGGACTTGGGAAGATTTCAGGAACAAATTATTAGCGTTTGATTTGAAAATTTTACCTGTGTCCCAGTCCAAAGTTTTTCGAGATGACTATGGCGCATACAGAGTTCAACAAGGAACTCGGGATGAAATCTTGATGGCAGAGCCTTCAGAGGATATCCTTCCCAACGGAGATAACGAAGCTTCCGAGGAAGATAACTGAGGCCTGTAGGTAAATGCACTTTTGTGTCTCCATGATGCGCAGAGTAATAAAAGTTGAGAATCTTAAGATTAGACAACCCTTCAAAAGCTCGATCACTTGCAAACAGATCGGTTATTTCAGACATGTTTAGTGAGACTGCTTCAACCAGTTGAGTTCCCTGAGACATGGATTTGGAACCATCAGATTGAAACGGCATAAGTAAAGGTCAAATCATGTAGAAAGGTTGTTTTTACAAGGTAGATAGAGATGAAGAAGCAAATGCAGGAAACTTACGGAATTTTCAACCAGCATATCAGAGATGTCTTTAGGATCCCACAAAAACAGGCGTTCTCCAGGGTTTTTAATTGATTGTCGACGGACAAGTTCTCTGCCCATCTGTTCCACCAGATCATGCATCTTTATGTACCCATTTGATATGTCTAACAAGGACTTCTCGGTCAAAACTGCAATACCGATTTCAGCAGCATACCCACAAATATCGAGAAGTTTGCTCACATAATCAACATGCTTCATATTGAAGAAACACGATATACCAAGAAAAATAACCTTCTCTTGCTCATCCAATCCGTCATAGCTAACCCTCAAAACTTCCATGACGTCACTATGAGGCACTATTTCAAGCCTGTCAAGCGTGCTTTTCCATTCTTTCTCGCTCCGGCGGTAAAGGAATGAACCTAAAACTCTGAGGGCGAGTGGAAGACCAGAAGCATACTTAACAGCTCGAACCGAGAGATCGTGGAACCCACTTGGAATGATTTTACCCCGAAAAGCATAGTGACAGAAGAGCTGCAGAGCTTCATTTTTCATTAAACACCTGACCTTGTATACAAGCTCGACCCCGTGAGAATCTAGCAAGTGTTTATCTCGTGTGGTTATAATGATTCTGCTTCGAGGACCAAACCAATCAGCCTCCTTGACCAATGCGCGTAGGTGTTCTTGTTTATCTACATCATCAAGGACAATGAGAACTGTTTTATGCCGAAACCTCTCCTTTATTATGTTGGATAACAGGACCGAGCTCCATGCTCCTTTATCTGTTTCTCCAAACATTTTGGATAAGAATTCCTCCTGCAGACGCGTGGTCCCATATCTATCACAGAATTCCTTGACATTTTCCATGAAACAGTGAGCTTGAAACCTACACGATAGATGATTGTAGAGATATCTAACGATGGTAGTTTTACCAACACCACCCATTCCCCAAATTCCTATCATGCGAACCTCTTCATGCTCGGTAGAAATCATAGACTGCAAAAGGTCCATTTCGGCACTCTTTACAATCAACCCATCTGAATCATCCGATGAAGTGGAAACTAATTGATCAGAAATGTCTCTAACAATCTTCCTGATCAGCTTTGACTCATCCATCCTAGCATAGAAGTTCACCCAGAGTAGTTATGATCATACCAAAAACGATATAGAGTAAACAAAAATCGAATCGAATCAGAATCCAATACAAAAAGCATATACCAATTCCGAGAATCCTCGCCAGAAATGGCGGCCAGTTTCGTCAAAGCTTCCTTCCAATTCCTCACCTTCTCCTTATCTCCGTGCCTTTCCATAGCCTCACCGACACTCCCTGTCTGTCTTCTCACGTCGGAAGGATTTATCCCGTAGAAAATCGGCACGACCCTCTGCCCAATCGAGTCCCTACACTCCATGATCTTAACAAGCTCGTCCAAACACCAATTAGAAGTAGCGTAGTTCTCGGAGACGATGACGACCGCGAATCTCGAGCCTCCGATCGCATCGAAAAGCTCCGGGGAAATGGACTTTCCTCTCTCCAGATCAAAATCCTCCCTGAATGCGTTGATCCCCATCCGATCAAGCTCGCAAAAGAGATGACTCGCGAAGTTCCTGCGCACATCTTCTCCTCTGAAACTCACGAAAACGTCGAATTTCCAGATAGAAGAAGAAGAAGACATTGATTCTTCTCTCTGAGCTACTGCAATGGCTGTGAAGATTTCATGATTTTGGACGAAAACGTTAGAGAAGTCAAAACATACTCAAGAGTTTCATCGAGTTGAGTATGACTGGATTTGCTGACAAGATTGGTCGGATACTGAGAACCAGAGGTTAGAACTCATGTCCTGAAATCACTCTAAAGTTACCTTGACCTAATTCCTTTGCTTCTTGGACTGCCTTATCTACCCTTTCCAAGTACCTATCAAACAACAGAAGACTCCACCATCAAGTCATCAAACCAGAACCGGAGAGACATATATTCAGAGCCTTTACCAATCAAGGACAGGGCGAGGACGGAGGGTACCCCGCCAGTAGGATGGGTCAAGCAAGCCGGCAGCATTCCTAAACCAGTCTAACCTCGACACGGCGGCAACCACCACCGGCACACCATACTCGCCCAAAGTCATTCCCAACTTTTTGTAGTCCCCTGAGTTGTTCCCTAAACCCTAATTTTCATTTCACGGATGAATCTTATTCACATAAACAACAAACCCAGATTCACATTACGCTGAACCGAACCCGGTTCAGTGGTAACCAAATTATTTACCTTACCGGAATTTCCCGCCCCCACACGTGGAAAGAGTCAAAGTCAAAACTTTTTCCCACAATTTCTCATTCCTCTTAAAAACCCTAATCCACTCGATAAAGTTCTCAGAACACTGAAGAGAGCATTCGAAGACGAAGAAGAAGGAGAGAAGCCAAACCTGCGAGAAATGTCGTCTCTTTCGGCGGGGATTTTCAGAGGATGTAGATCGGTCCTAGCTCCTGCTTCGAGAACCTTCTCTTCTGCTGCTGCTTCAAGAGGTGGAAGTTCCACCGGAGCCAGAAAGTCGGCGTCGAAGCCGAAGCCGAAGCCGAGATCGTCGTCTCCGGCGACGGCGAGATCCACCGGAATTTTCAAGGTGAGCCCTGTCTCTCCGGCGCTGGCTCAGTTCCTCGGCGCCGGCGAAGCTTCCCGAACGGACGCCATCAAGGGGATATGGGCCTACATCAAGTCCCATGATCTTCAGGTTTCTCCATTGTTTGTTTCTCCTCATGCACTTGTTGATAATTTTGCTTAGACGTGTGCCCTAAATTTCCAAGACAAAGAGTGTTCGTGGCTTTAACTAGTTGCTGTCTGGAAAGTGAATTTCTCACCCGTAATCTATCAGGTGATGTTTGATAGGGTTTCTAGATGAAACTTGTGCTAATGCAATGGTTTTTTCTCCCACCCAGAATCCTGCAGATAAGAGGGAGGTCATCTGTGATGAGAAGTTGAAGCACCTTTTCGAGGGGAAAGACAGAGTCGGGTTTCTCGAGATTGGGAAATTGTTGTCTCCTCATTTCGTGAAGACTAGCTGACCGTTGCCTCCTGATTTCTGGCTTGAAGAAAGTTGTACCTAATTCCAGCAAGCTCTTTCTTTTTGCTGTGACTGTGAGTATCTATCTCTGCTGTGCTGGTTCTTTAAGGAGGTCGAACTCTTCTTGGTTGGGTTTGCCATTTAAACAGGTCTCCAACCATGTTCGCTGTAAAGTGTTTGTTAAAGACCAGATGTGTCCATGTTTCTGTAATGTTGATGACATGATGTGTACTGATTTCGCATCTTTTCGTAAATCCAGTTCCTTTACATGTGGAATCATTTCCATGATTGCTCTGTCGCGATATCTAGAGAAAGACATTGCTAAGGATTGCTCAAGACAACATTGGTTTCTTGTCTCGCCTGAGTTAGGTAAGTTTTTCAGCAGTAATTGTACAGAATGTTGAATTTCACTCAAGAAGGTGGTGGATCCAATGCTTTACAATGGCCGGAGAACCATACCAGGGCCTGGTTGTATCGTCTGAACCAACAGGCGAGTGGTAGATCCCATTGAAGCTAATGTTGAGTGCACCTTCAAGATGGGCTGAAACCTCCGGCACGACCCCATCACCCCAAACATCAGCTCTCCCGCATACCTACACATCAACACCAGGCGGAGGTCTCAAGGCGGTTTCTCTATCTTAAGTTCTTGATAGGTTAGTTGTGTTATTCTTTACAGAAAATCCAAGTCTTGTGAAACCTGCAGTCTGAATTACCTGCTTGTAGCCTTGCCCGACAAAACGAGCACGTAACGTTGGTGCCGGAACTTTTGAACCACTCATGTCGCTCGTGATAGTGAGGCCGGGAATGGCTTGTCCACCATCGATTTCCATTGTCATATCAGAATCCAAATCCAGATCGGCATTGCCGGTCAAGGAAGCTCCTCGGATATATCTAACATGTAATCCACGATGACCACTTCAGATCCCATGTTTCATCTCTGGTCTAAACAAAGGAAAAACAGCAAATAAAACATCACCTCCCAGCAATGCAGACATATCTCAAGTCAGGAGTGTAGACAGCTTTTGCACAATGCTTCTCAACGTAATCAAGAAGACCCCTTGTTTGATCGATAACCCCTCTCTGCCCTTTCCGAGGCGGCCTGTACCAGCAAATATGATGAAAGAAAATACAGAGTTCAGTTCTCCATCAGCACAACAAGAACAAATGTTTTTCAGGGCAAGTGAACAAACATATGTAATGAAACTGTATACCTACAAGTGAGGCGTACCAAGAGTCAACAGCAATGAGATATCAGAATATCCGAACTCCTCCATGTAAACCCGAGCAAGCCATCCCCCGGCCGAGTGACCAATTATCGACAACTTCTGACCTACATCGAAGCAACTATGTTGAGGTTTAACTCAAGAGTTTCATCGAGTTGAGTATGACTGGATTTGCTGACAAGATTGGTCGGATACTGAGAACCAGAGGTTAGAACTCATGTCCTGAAATCACTCTAAAGTTACCTTGACCTAATTCCTTTGCTTCTTGGACTGCCTTATCTACCCTTTCCAAGTACCTATCAAACAACAGAAGACTCCACCATCAAGTCATCAAACCAGAACCGGAGAGACATATATTCAGAGCCTTTACCAATCAAGGACAGGGCGAGGACGGAGGGTACCCCGCCAGTAGGATGGGTCAAGCAAGCCGGCAGCATTCCTAAACCAGTCTAACCTCGACACGGCGGCAACCACCACCGGCACACCATACTCGCCCAAAGTCATTCCCAACTTTTTGTAGTCCCCTGAGTTGTTCCCTAAACCCTAATTTTCATTTCACGGATGAATCTTATTCACATAAACAACAAACCCAGATTCACATTACGAGGATTCATTTGCCAAAGGCACAGAAGAATCGATTACGATTCGGTAATGTTCCCGGACAAATAACGCATTTTCCTAGAGGTTTCTCACGCTTTCCCACCAACCAAACATCGAATCAGAACCCAATACCATATGCAAGTGTATATGGTTCAAAGCAGGGGAAGAAGGGTAATCACCGGGAGAATGACGGCGGGACGGGGATTCCCGACGGAGGCGGTTGCGGCGGAGGATGAAGCTGACGTGGCAGCGGAGAAGCAAGGCATCAGCCTAAGTGATGGAATCACCGCCGAAGCCATCGTTGGTTAGTGGCTATGAGCCAAGCGGACAATGATGTGAGTTTTTAAATCCACACGCTTCAGAACTTTTTGCTATATTTGCATAAAAGCCCCGATTGTTTCGTATCCTTCGACTTAAAGTACAAAACCCTTCAACATTTTCGAAATTCAGCACATAACTTTCCTTCCTCAAATTCTCCTCCATGCTGTTATCGTGGTTCGGTTTTAAGAAGCGGCTTAGCAGAAAATCGCAGAGGTCTGAAGATTATTTTCATGGAAGAAACTTCCTTTGGTTAATAGACGAAAATGGCTTCTCTCTGTCAACCTTGCTCTGCATCATCTGCCACTCCTCTGCTTCTGGCAAGAAAGGCGTTTTCGTGGGTTTCATCGTCGTTTATCTTCACGACCCGCTTCATCAGCCTAAGTGATGGAATCACCGCCGAAGCCATCGTTGGTTAGTGGCTATGAGCCAAGCGGACAATGATGTGAGTTTTTAAATCCACACGCTTCAGAACTTTTTGCTATATTTGCATAAAAGCCCCGATTGTTTCGTATCCTTCGACTTAAAGTACAAAACCCTTCAACATTTTCGAAATTCAGCACATAACTTTCCTTCCTCAAATTCTCCTCCATGCTGTTATCGTGGTTCGGTTTTAAGAAGCGGCTTAGCAGAAAATCGCAGAGGTCTGAAGATTATTTTCATGGAAGAAACTTCCTTTGGTTAATAGACGAAAATGGCTTCTCTCTGTCAACCTTGCTCTGCATCATCTGCCACTCCTCTGCTTCTGGCAAGAAAGGCGTTTTCGTGGGTTTCATCGTCGTTTATCTTCACGCCCCGCTTAACCCCTCGCCGCTATAGTAGCTTCAGAGCATCTGCGTCTGCGTCTGCGTCTGCGTCTGCGTCTGCGATTTTGGATACGAAAGAAGTGAGAAGCACTGATTTGGTGGCTTTAGAGTATGCAGAACTAAACCTCAAGGAGAAAAATTCTGCGGTATCCTTCCTTCACTTCCCTCATTCGTTTTAACCCTAATTTGGTTAAGGTTCCACTGTTATTTCAATATTTAATTTATGGGTTTTGTGGTTTGCGAATAAAGTGATGATCTTTTCTGATTTTGGTTCAACTGATGTTCAAAAGTAGAGAACTTTCAGCTCCGGAGACATTTGTTAGAAGCTGATGTCACTATCTCAAATGATCGAATAGGATTTCATATTTTATCATGTCTTTGTGTTATGTTAAATGTAAATATCACAAATATTTGTGTCTTGACAACTTTCTTTTCGTTTACATTTTCTCCTTGTTTTCTGTTTGCAGGAGCTGGGTCATGTAAGAATCAGACAGCATGTTAACCCTCTCAGTTCTTCTTTCTCTGTAAGCTTTTTCTCTCTTGAACTACTTTTTTGCTTTTGAAATTTTTGTTTGGTCTTCAGAGAGTTTTTCCCTTGAGGTTTCAAAACCCGTGATATGGGTCCAAATTTTGTCCGTGGCTTGAAGTGACATCCTGATATATGCACGCCATTAACTGATACAGGTTTTCTGTTTTTTTTTTTTTGTTGATGACAGATTCCAGCTCCAGTTCCGGAATGGAATGAAGTGTTTAAGGATCCTTCACTGCCTCTTATGGTGGATATTGGAAGTGGTAACTTGTGAGCTTACTCGGGCTTCTGTTTTTCACAAGTCTGTTTACCCACCATGCTTCACTATTTGCTTTGCTCAGTTATCCATGAAAGACAATTTCATGTGTGAAAACAATGTGTTGCTGATATATATAAAATGTCAGATATGCTTTTTATATATTCTTCTCTCTTGTTATGTCCAATGATGTTATGAACAGGTCCAGCCTTTTTTTCACATAAGCAAGATATATTATGCTTCATAGTTTTCTTGAAGATGTTCGGGTAGCTTAGTTGGTAGCTTGCAATTGAATCTGATGTTGAGCAGGAGAATTTCTCGTCCTCCTATTGTCCCGATGCCTTACTGTTTCCATGTGTTGTTGAACCAAGCTTCATTGCTTGGAATCTGCTTCAAACGTTTATATAAAGTATAGTTTTCATTTTTTGGTTTTATTGTCACTCCTGGTTTGTCATTGTTCCATGATTTCTGCTTCTACTAGTGATTTGGGGTTGCTTCGATTTCAGGTAGTGGTAGATTTCTCTTGTGGCTGGCGAAAAAGAATGCCGCCTCAGGCAACTACTTGGGACTGGAAATACGCCAGAAAGTATGAGATCAATCTCCTTAGACAGTTTTCAAGTTCAGTTCAACCATTCTATCTCTTCGAGCCAATTTATATTCCTCTCCCGTTAGAACCAACTGGTTTGGTTATTTCCTTGCAGCTGGTCAAGCGGGCCAACTTCTGGGTGAAGGAGCTGGGACTACCAAACATGTAATCTCTGTGTCTAAACTTAAAGTTATAGAAGGAAAAGCCTAAATGAGAAGGTGATATTATCAATTGATCACTTATTTGATGGACTTTGTGAATCGGCAGACATTTCATATTTGCAAATGCCACAGTTTCTTTCGAACAACTTATATCGAGCTATCCTGGACCACTGGAGCTCGTCTCAATCTTGGTGAGGCTAACTGGAAGCATGCGTTGAGCAATAACCAAAAGCTCGGTAGCATATAAATAGCAAAAGTTCATCTTGAAGCACTGATCTTAACTTCTTGTTTGGTGTGGATGCAGTGTCCGGATCCTCATTTCAAGAAAAGGCATCATAAGAGACGGGTTCTTCAAAAGCCTCTGTTAGATTCCGTCCTAAAAAACCTAACAACCGGAGGGAAGGTCAGTTTTTTGTTTCCCGAAGTATTCATTATCAGCTTTTATCGGTCCTTGACGACTATACTTCCTTTAGGAAACCCGATTAGGATTGAGCATTAAAGTTGTAAAATTTGTCTCTCACATGAGATCTTGCATTTATAAACTCGAAGAATTACGCAAATCTTGGCAGTTTCTGCTTGTTCTTAGCTGGTTCTGCGTTTCCCTTGAACATTCTGACTAGTTTGAAGAACATATCTTCACAACTTTGTGGCCTTCTAAAAAAAAGACTATCTATGAACAGATCTTTGTGCAATCCGATGTGCTCGAGGTGGCTGTTGACATGAGGGATCATTTAGATGCGGAATTTAACGTTCTTCAACACGTTGAATCAGTTGGCACGGGCATTTTGTGCGACAACGAGGGGTGGATGGTGAAAAACCCGATGGGAATACGAACTGAACGGGAAATCCATGCAGAATTCGAAGGTGCCAGGATCTACAGAAGACTATACCAGAAAATGCAGCTTACATGATGGACATAACTAAACTTGTTCTGATTCTTGAAGAAAGGTAAGCAAGCATTTGTAGAGCTTCCTACTTGCTTCTGAATCTGAACTTCTGAAACTGTTTTTGGATTCATTGATGACTAAACTATAAAGTGGAGCATCTTTTGAAGTGGTTTAGTTTCTGTGCACCGAGATCATGGTCAAGTCTCGGTTTAATAGAAAACCGGCTGGGATGCCAATTCCATATAGCCAACCGAACCGGATTCCAATTTGTACAACCCGGTTTAATAGTCCGGGCGCTTGATTCAATATGATTTGATGATGACTACAAGTGTCAAATCCAATATGGGTTTGACATTTATTTGATATATAAAATGGAAGCAGAATAAGACAATAGATTAGTTAACCAAATTCGGACAGTGTATACTAATAATATACTTTGTTTTGGTAAATACTAAGAATATATTTGAACTGACGTGAGACATCATTTTCAGAAAATTGGCCAAAAATAGAAAAATTGTTTCGTAACAAGGTACACCACAAAACGTGTATATATATATATAGTGTAAAATATTTCTCCCTCCATTTCTTGATACATGATGTTTAACTTTTTTTTTACAGTTTAAAAAAAATATAAAAAAAGGTTATATAAATATGTCCTTAATTAATATTTTATAACATAATGAAAAAAATGATAGCTACGTGCATTTAGGAGAAGATAAAACATGAAATAAAATTAAATAAATATTAATTAGGAAAAATGGGGACAGTTGGGAATGAAGTCAGGCTTATGTGTCTGAAAGCGATTCGTCCTTTCCTTTGTCTGAAATATGAAATATGATGAACATGGCGTTGCCTCCAGCTGTATTCACGTACTCATATATATATATATACACAGTCTTCCGTCAAAGAAGCATTAGGAAAAAATTAGATACCCTTTTTGCGCTTATATTCTCCCCGTTGATTTCGTGGCGAGTAGTGCAACTTTCTTCGGATACAATATATACTTACGTTCTTGCAGAGAGGGAGAGAGAGAGAGGGTTTCTCTCTTTGGGCTGCGTGAAGAAAAACCCATCATCACCTTCTTCGTTTCGTTCGACGGATATTACGTTTGTCTCCTGGAATTGTACAATTATTGCTCGCATTTTTCTCTCGAGATCGAGAATTCTGTTTCCGGGTCTTTTCCTTCTGATGAACAAAGAGGCACAGAAAAGTTGAAAGATTTTTCAAGGTTCTGATTTCCCTGCGGAAAATATGCTCACGGGTTCCGATAGGTTTGTATCAGAATTCAAGTGGGTTTTTGCTCATTTTGTTAACTCTGGTAACATGAAACCTGTTTCTTCTGTGTTTTCCTCCTCCGAATCATTGTTTTCACTTTGACTGAGTCTTCACTATGCCGGTTTCTTTGTTTCACTTTGCCCTTGCTTGCTGGTTTGTTGTTTGGGTGGATTAACTGATATTTATCTTGAATTTAGAGGATCTGTTCAAGTGATTCTGATCTCTTAGGTTAAGATTCTCTCTGTGTCGGAAAACTAAAACGTTTCTTTCTTTGTTGTTGAGAAAAGTTTCTCTTTTCTGTTGGAAAGACAAGACACCTGGGAAATGCCAGGATCAACGAGCCTTGCTCTACTGGAGCTGCAATTCAATTAGACGGCTCAAAAAGAGAAACAAGGGAGTGTCTAGATTTCGTAAAAGTTTTGCCTTTTCAGGATTTGATTGGAAAGTGTACGCCTGAATTCTCTTCCGCTTTGAATTGTTCTACACTTTCTTGGCGTTGAAGTTGAGGACCGGTGAAAGAACAACATTAAGCTAAATCCAGCAAGGACCAATCCAAAGTTCCACACTTGACTGTTCCTTCGTAATCGAGTTCACAAACTCGGTAGTATCGTTTCTCAAGAAGGTAAATGATACGAGTGGGGGATGCCTCTTTTGGTTTCTGGTTTTGGTAGATTTAACTCGTCCTGCTTTCTTGGGTGTTGGTTTGGCCGGGAGGGCTGGTCTAACCGCCACACGGGTTTTCTTCTCTGATCCAATGCAGAAACACTGTCAACATTAATGGATCCTCAGGCATTTACTCGGCTTTCAGTAGGTTCACTCGGTCTAAGGATTCCAAAAACCATCTTAGGATCCTCTTTGAAATCATGGGTTCAGGCCCTATCCTCCCAATGCTCGTGCGATATAAAGCTTCCAGGTTTTCCCGTTCAAGCAACACCAATTCCTTTGATGTCATCTCCAGATGCAACTCCTGATGGTAACAGTGTTCCCTCGAGTTTTTATCTGGAAGAGTCCGACTTAAGAGCTCTTCTGACCCCTCGATGCTTCTATAGTCCTCATGCTTGCTTAGAGATTGTTGTGTTCATTGGTAAACGAGGTTCACATGGTGGGGTTGGTGTTAAGAGACAGCAGATTGGGAAATTTAAGCTGGATGTGGGTCCTGAATGGGGAGAAGGGAAACCTGTAATTCTCTTCAATGGCTGGATCGGTATTGGCAAGAACAAAGGTGACAGCACGAAGCCTGGACCGGAGCTTCACTTGAGGGTGAAGCTCGATCCTGATCCACGTTTCGTGTTTCAGTTTGAGGATATTACAACACTAAGCCCCCAGATAGTTCAGCTCCGTGGCTCAGTTAAGCAACCCATTTTCAGTTGCGAGTTTAGTAGAGACAGGTAATGCTGTTTACGCATTTTACTTGAAAACTTCCTTTCCCTCTTGAGCCAGTTGGTGCTTGGATTTCGGCTTGTCTGATAGTTTTTATCAGTGTTGCATTGTTTAGGTAAACATGATTCTGAGTTTAACAGAGTAGAAAGTAAGACACTTCTGTCTTAAAAGCTAACTCTGTCTTTCTGTTGATGAATATTTTTTGGTGTCATTCTTGCAAAAACTTTCTTATGTGGTTTCTCTATATGCTATTTGTCGCTCTTTTGTACTTGATGGAATGTAAATTAACGAACTTTTTATAGCTTAAGGTGATTATTTCATGGTAAATGAAATTTGGGATAGTGTTTAAATGGCTTTGGCAGGGTGTCACATGGCGACCCGCTGAGCGGATACTGCTCAAGTTTAGGTGATGTCTCGGAGCTCGAGGCAGAAAGACGTGAACGGAAGGGATGGAAAGTGAAGATTCACGATCTCTCTGGCTTTGCAGTGGCTGCAGCCTTCATAACAACTCCCTTTGTCCCATCCACTGGCTGTGATTGGGTCACCAAGTCGAACCCAGGTGCTTGGCTGGTGGTCCGGCCTGACCCTTGTCGACCTGACAGCTGGCAGCCATGGGGAAAGCTTGAGGCTTGGCGGGAACGTGGGCTCCAGGACTCTATATGCTGCAGGTTTCACCTCTTGTCAAACTGGCAAGGGGATGGCGACGTATTGATGTCTGAGGTTCTTATCAGTGCCGAGAAAGGTGGAGACTTTGTCATTGACATGGACAGACAGATGCTTACTACGGCAGGAACGCCGGTTCCGAGCCCTCAGAGCAGCGGAGACTTCTCGGGTTTGGGACCCTCTGGACAAGGGGGCGGGTTTGTAATGAGCTGCCGAGTGCAAGGGGAAGGGAAGAGCAGCAAGCCTGTGGTGCAACTGGCAATGCGCCATATAATGTGTGTGGAAGATGCGGCCATCTTCATGGCCCTTTCTGCGGCGGTTGATCTTAGTATCGTCGCTTGCAAACCTTTCAGGAGGACTGGTCGGAGTCAGAGACGGTTCCGGCACTATTCCTGGTGAAGAAGGCCTGTAGGTGATGAGAAGGAACTCTCTTTTTGTGACTTTTGTGTACAGTTTGTGTACTCATTGCGTTAGGAAGAAATGCTTTGTCATTGGGTTTCGACTTTTAAATGGCCTGAAAAACTTCAAGAATCTCAGACATCAGACTGAATCCAGATCAATCAGAGCAAACAGATGAAAATTGATTATATGAAGAACAATCGGTTCAAACAGCCACGTCTTAAGAACAACGATTCTCAAAAGCTTATTTGAAGAACTTAAGGATCAAAAGACTTTGAAGTCCTAAAAGACCAAAGCAGAGCAAAACTGAGAAAGAATTAAAAGCTATCTGTGATTGTCCTGAAGCTTTAAACCTTGACCGGAGATTGTCTTGATCTTAGTTCTTCTTGTCACCTCCTCCGGTTTTCACCTTCTTGGCAGTTGCCTGAGAATACAAGAACGTGCCAAGAATGGCAATGGCTGACCCCAGAGCATTCAGCGGCCTAACGGGGTTCCTGAACACCAAGACCGATGACACGATGACGACTACTCTCTTCATCGTGTTCCCCACTGAAAATGTCAAGGGGCTGATCTGGTCGAGGGCCTGATACGACGACTGGTTGTATAAATGGTAGAAGATTCCTGACAGCAACACCCACATGTAAAAGGTTGCTGGTTTTCCGACAGCTTCAATGGCCTTGTGGTACCCTTGAACCCATTGTGACCCTTCAATGAATATCGCCACTGGAAATAGATAGAGCAATGAAACTATACTGATCCAACCGTATAAGTTCAGTCCATCGATCTCTTTGAAGTTCTGCAGACTGCGTTTCGAGTAAATGTTTCTTAAGACAAAACCAACATTGCTGATCATAGCGCCCCATAATCCACCAAGGTTAAACGAAACTTCAGTAATTGCAGCTAAAGAGACACCAAAAACAATCGGGAGAATCGATAACCAGACTGATAATGGGTATGGATCACCGAGAAAGGACGAGAAGATGACCGAGAACACTGGCTCGGCGGATTTGATGACGTGCGTGAAGGACACGGCCACCTTTGAGAATGAAACACAAGCTGAGATGTGTCCGATTGTGTGGAACAATGCAGGACCCAGTAGAGCAATGATGAAGGACTTGGAGATTTTCGGACAAGGATAGAGCTTCAGCGACCACAAAACGAGCATCCAGACGGAACCGGTGAAAAGCTGAAACGAAGCCAGAAGCCATGGGAAAGGGAAAACGTTGAGTGCCTTCTTGTTGAAGATGTTGAAGACGATGTTCTGAAAGTACCAGAAACCGAACACGATCGCCAACTGAAGAGTCTTGGACTTTGTCTTCCCATCCGTCTCCTCCGCCGATATCTCGTACTCGCCGTCAGGACTGGGCTCCGACGACCCCGCTGCCGATTCCGCCGGCGGAGGAACGGCGGCGATAGATCTGAATCTTCTGGAAAACCCCGATGAGTATTCCGGATTCGCGATTGAAAACAGGGGTTTCGCGGCGAAACCTCGAAACCGCAATTTGGGAATCGGGGAAAACCCTAATGGGTAATCGCCATTGACGGGTTTATTGCCGGTGGCGAGAAGAGGAGATTGTCGGGTCGGGTCTTGTCGGGCCCGGGTCGTACGGAGGAGACCCGGGTTCAGGGAAGAAGATGAAGGAAAGAGATTCAGCGAGATCATTGCTGCAGAGAGAGAGAGAGAGAGAGATGACGAAAGGAGATAACTTTGGTGGCTAGTGTCGAGGAAAACCTAAAAGATCCGTTTGGAGTAGAAAATTTGAAAGATCAGTACTGTGGATTTTGTCCCCTCTCCCCTTCGAAGATGATAAATTAAATACCTTTTTCGCAATTACCATGTATATATACATACACACGTATCCGAATGTGTAGAGAGAGAGAGGTATATGTGCTGATGTCTTTTGAATTGATACAAAAAAATGATTAGGTACATACCATTTTTATAAAACTGAATTTAAAATAAGTGAATTCAAATGAAATTAAAACTTCTTATTTTCCTTATATGTTAACATTAATGCGGATACGGTTGTATATTCCTGTTTTGTCGTGTTTTTTTATGTGTTAACTTTCTCAACATACATACTCTTACTTTGTTATTTTTATTAACGCATACTCTTCTCCAGTTGTGACTATGTGACCAATGTGACCCAAAATATAGTGTGGTCATGTGTTATCTCATTACTTATAAAATGTTTTAATCAAATAATTAGTAAGATATATAAAGTGAACATAATGAATTAGTGAGATCACCATAAATTTAACGTTATAATCAATAAAATTAAAATGTGATCACACTATATTTTGGATCACATTGGTCATATGGTCACAATCGAAAAGAGTATATGTTGAAGTAAAAATAACAAAATAAGGGTATTTTTTATATAATGATATTTTTGTTATTTTTGTCTTATGAGAAAATAAAAAGAAATTAGGATTTACAAAAATAAAAAATAAAAAAGAAAGTAGGAGGCCGAAACTGGGCCTTAGCTTTTAATAAGAAAACTGGGCTTTCCTCGAATTTGGAAAAAGGGCCCATTTAAATAAGCCCATGCTTTGAAAAGAAACTTTTTTTGTGTAGAGATAATTTGGCAGATCTCGGGATCGGATCGTTGTCGGAGACGTCGCCGGTTTCGGTGAAAGGGAAGAAGAGAATGGCGGCGAAGCAGATGGAAGAGATACAGAAGAAGCTTGCGACGCTTAATTACCCAAGGGCTAATGCTCCTGCTCAGTCTCTCCTCTTCGCCGGCACGGAACGTTATGCTCTTCTCGAATGGCTCTTTTTCAAGTATTGCTCCTGCTGCAGGAATTTCGACTTCTGATACATTCATCCGTTTTGATGCATTTTGGTTCTCGAGTGAGATCGAAGCCTTAGTGGGTTTTGTTATTTACATTCACAACCATTCTGGTTTTGATTAGGCTGTGATCGAGAATTTTGTGCTTTTGAATTGCCTGATTGACTTGGGAGTTCTCGCTGAGTTCAGTGATCAAAGTTAAGAGATTATTGATTTGTTTTACTCGTTCTGTTGTTTTGGAGGTTACTGGGTGATAAATCGCCTTTCTCTCAGCAAAACCTTCAAGGGGATGCTGGTGTTCGTGACGAAGAAACTGTCCGTATCCAGTGTAAGTTTTGCTCTGAATCAGTTCTCTTACTTGTACAGAATTAATCTTGGAGAAGCACACAATGTTAGTATATGCTTTTCAAATGGATTTAGTTGCCGTAAATTTTGGAAACGAAGCTTTTGTTGTCAAAGTTTCGATCAGATCCACAATGAATATATTTGGTTCCATAGATAGGTTGACTTCTCGGTTTCAGATTTGGCAGAGATTGCAAAGTTTCTAGGGATTACAGCCACTGTGGATATAGAAGCTATTCAGGTAAGATTCTTTGCCAACATTTCCAGGTCTTCCCTTGTTATGTGTCTTGCTTTTGCTCTTATCTGTTCAAGTTCCAGGCTTTGTTGAAGCCCAAGAAATTGGTTCCTAGCATGGCTCTAATTCCATTCTTCATCCATAACTATCGTCCTTGAAGCTGCAATTAGTTTGTTACCGTTTCAGGGACGTGGAACTTATGAAGATCGAATGGAAATGCTTCGTCATATTGTTGATCTGGTGGAGGCAAGCCTCTACTCAGATAATCCAGAATGGAGGTGGAATTAGCACATACCTCTTGTCACTTTCTCTACTTGTGTTATTCGAGTAGAGCATTGTTATCTTCCAGCCTTTTAAATTCTTGCCATGAATTTTGTCTGTTCTTGTGCATAACAATGATTTTGCCTTATTCCTCAGTATTGATGAACAGGTTTCCAAAGATATTCAGCTCATATCGAGCATAACTTATCTATCAACTTTCTACATTCTTGTCCTGAATTTGGTTTTGTTCTTTGTGCATAACAATGGTTTTGCCTTATTCCTCAGTATCGATGAACAGGTTGCCAAAGACATTCAGCTCATAGATGCTATAGCGGGGAGACAATCACTGATATTTTCTGAAGAATGCAAGCTGTTCCCTGCTGATGTGCAGATCCAGTCCATATACCCACTGTAAGCATTCGTTCCTCTTCTCTCCTGGTTATTGAGTGTTTTGCAGTTCTCTGTCCATTCAGGCTTAGAAATATTTCCATCATTCTGGTTGTTGCTCGTGATGTAGGGGAATATAAATAAAAATCATGTCAAATTCGACCACATGAAGAACCATTAGTTTCATTACTAATTTTACCTTTATTCTTATGTTCAAATTTCTTACCACAAATGCACATGAGCTATCTTTGGGATGATTTCCTTGTAAGGATGGCTTTTTTAAAAGCACCTATGGTGTTGACACCAGTAGAAGGATGTATACATTGGGGGAATGGAAGAGAGATAAAAACTTCTCAAAAGTCATAAACTTTTGCTACTGAAATTTGTTGATTATTTGAGTTTTAAACCGAGCTTTAAGTTGTATTAAGGCTCCATCAATGATCTAAGCCAACGGTACTCGCCAAGTGCCACCCGAGTCCTTAGATTATAGCTTAATATTTCAGCCGATGTAGTTATATTCTGTGATCAAAGTTTATCTGCAGACCAGATGTTTCAGAGCTAGATTCAAAACTTGCAGAGCAGACCAAGATACTCTCAAATCTTCAACAGAAAGTTGATGATTTGGCGGCGAAGGTGTGTTTCCTTGCTTCATATTTCAATGTTTTGTTGTTGTTTTGAATAACAATTGGACAAACTTAGCCGTTTGATCAGATATTGTTTTGTACATGTATGATCTTAATTCGTAATTGTTTCACCAATTTATTGTTTGACATTGCGTTTGCCTGTAAATTGCGTCTGGCATTTGATTAGTATAGAGCCTAGGGCTACCTTCTCTAGCTGGCAGTGTGGAAGTCACCCTCCGCTTGTAGGTAGTTAAGACAATTCTTTGCATATTTTACCGACAATTTTGCACATTCAAATCTTACTTTTCCTACAAGTTCTTGCTATTTGATAGCTAGGAGGCAGCATGAATGTTTTTCTCTCCTGATGTTCTTTTTCATCGATTTGTTTAATTTTGTTTATATGTATATTCTTATTGGAAATTAATAAACCCTTTGCTTCACGTTTGTCATATTTCCTGATTGTTTAACTAAACATGGCTCGTTTCCTTGTTTCTCTGCTCTCAGCATGCTTACAACCCTGATGAAGAATATTCTGAAGTGGAGTCGCAACTACGGACCCATTTGGAATCCTTTCTCGAAACTGCTAGGGCTTTCAATACAATTTACACAAAGGTACTATTTCTTCAGTCTAAGACTCGATGTGGCTGGCTCTGGTGATGTCAGTAAGAGATCTTTTCTATCACATAATCCTGTATTGATTGCTCTAGATGTGTTTGGAGAAAATCTTACAGATCATCGACGTCTCATGGTTTTGAGTACTTTGTACCGAAGAGACAGTACTTTACCTGTGATAAGTGTGGAATTTCTCGTGAATTTAACTTGGTCGATATCCTTAGTGAAACTAAGTAGTTTTTTCCTTGCACGAGCGTTTATGGTATCGGCAAAGGGCAGTTTCTTATCTGCATATCTGCTATGTGTGGATTTTGCAGGAAATACGTCCATGGACACACATGATGGAAGTGCCTCAGCTTCATGGCTTTGGCCCTGCTGCAAACCGCTTATTAGAGGCATATAAGATGCTCTTAAAGGTACCTTTAATGTTGTCTTTCTACTGGTATGCCATTTCCATGTATCCATCACCATCGCAACATATATACGTTGCATGGATGTGTGATTCCACAGTTTCTGAACATTGTGGTCCACATTGTTTGGAGACAGTTCCTGGGGAACTTGAAGAATCTGAGAGACTCACACGCAGCACTTGCAATCGGATCATCTGAAACAGTAGCTGGGGAGCCCTCTTCAGTTACCAGAATCGTGTCGGAATGTGAAGCCGCTTTAACTGTTCTGAATCGGGACCTCGGCATT